AGATTTGCCCTCTCCTACATTTAGCCTGCTTCATTCCCAGGAGGCCGGCCTAGAAAGGCAGATGAAGGGTGGGCTTAGCTGAAGTGGATTGTAACAGTGGGCCTGAAACTAGAATCACCCAGATACAGCTGCTTCTAGGGAGGAGATTTCAGGGAGGACTTTCCTCCCAAATTACTGCCCATACTCTTCCTGCCAGCATGCAACCAACCCACCCTCTGCAGCCCCAGTTCTTTCTGACATCCTCCATGGTCCTTCCTAAGTCCTGGAAATGAAGTCTACCTAAACTGACCTGGAATGAAGTCCAATTAAGCACACAGGTGTGTATTGGACATCCATATGTGTATTCCTGCCTAGGTTTAAATTTGTGCCAGAAACTTCTACATAGGCAGGCACTATGAATGTGCTTGCTGTCAGAAATCCTATGGCTATTTAGTCCATTTCTGTTTATTTGCATAGAGGGAGTCCTGGTGTGGCACTGTAGGATAAGCCCTGGACTAATAACCGAAAAGGTCAGCAGTTCAAACCAACTCCACAGCACTTAACAACAGCACCAACATGTACATGTTTTGCATGCATGTGCATGATTGCACATTTGTATGTGCATAAAGCATGTGACTGTGTGCTCTGTGTTTGCCTGTGTACTAGCTTTGCCCAGTTGGTGGTACACTGGGAAGACCACTGGACGCTTAGGAAATCTAGGGTCTTAGCCTCCAATTTGCCATTTAGGGTCTCAGCTTCCCATTTGCCCTGTGCCTTTGAGTGAGGCACTTTCACTCTCAGAATTTGTTTTACATTTGTTTTGTCTTTTTTTTTCTTCACTTGTAAAATAAGTTATTTTTATTCAAGAATCCCTGAGGGCCCCTCCTATACTGGGACTGCATATAGAGTCACCTAAGGCATTTGAGCCTCTCTCAGAATTGCTATACAGGGTTGCTATGAGTTGTAACCAACTCAATGGCACTGAACAACAACAAAAACAAAGCATTTAGAAAGGGTAGAGGCTACCAGAGACTCCAGTGCTCCTTCTTTCCACAAGTTGCCACTCAAGAGAAGTCCTCTCAGCTAAGTTCAAAGTGGGAGAGAAAAGTTGAGATCTAGTGGGGGGGGGGGTTGAACACCTCAAAAGGACCTGGGCTGTGAGGCAAAGCGAGGGGAAAAGTGTTGGGTGACCACCCTGCAGCTCCCTACCTCTTTCCTCCAAGGATGTTCATAGGGAGGTGCAGGTGTGTCTGGGGGTTGCCTCTGAATGGCTTTCTCAAACAAGCAAAAGAAAATACATACAGACCACTGGAAGAATTGATGGCATACACTTTCTATAAAGAGGAGTTTGGTGAGGCCCCCTCCAGTTCTGACTTTGACTTTGGCCTCCACCTAAGAGTCAGTCAGTGCTCACCCCTGCCCCTTCAGCTTGTCCTTTTCTACTGAGGGAAGATAGAAGGAAGGAAGAACTGGAGTGCAGTGGCCTTCATGGTGTCATCATCTCTGAAAGGCTTGCCACAGGTGTCGGGGCTGTGGGTACCACACAGGAGACAGGCCAGCGGCTCACTCCTCTCTCTGTTCCCTGGGCAATTTAGCCAGGGGACCTGAGTGAAAAACTGGACAAACATATTGTTGTTGTTAAGTGCCGTTGAGTCGGTTCTGACCCATAGCAACCTTATATAGGGTTTCTGAGGAGGAGCTGGTAAGCTTGAACCTTGTGGTTCAAACTGACCTTGCAGTCCAGAGCATTAACCCACAGTGCCACACCAGGACTCCTGGACACATATACACACTCACAAACACCAAACAATCCGTATGATGTCCATACATGCAACACACTCCACATCTCTCAAACTTAGAATACTTATTCTCAATTTCATCCTATCACTATGGGTCAGAACTGACTCAATGGCATTTAACAACAACAACAAATGCCTACACACAGGTCAACCCACACACATATGCACACACAGACATATAACACAGCCCAAGCACCCAAATACCAAAATACGTCCCCCCCCACCCCTTCTTCTTTGCTGTCTCCTTCTTCTGCCCTCTCCCTAGCCTCCTCCCCTTGATGGTACTGAAGGGAAGGGAGTTTCATTGAGAAAATGGAAACCTTTGCCCTCAAAAAAGGGCCCATGATCAATACTGTTTAGACTTGGCTAGTGTGCATTTCCTCCAGGGTTAAGGAAGATTTAAGTTTATGGTTCAATCCAATCTTTTTAAAAAAAGGGCAGAAAATGAGAGAGTTGGGATGGTCATCTCTGGTATTTATTTCAGTGCAGCCCAGGCTAATCCACAGGCTGTTCACTAAGCCAACCCCATAAATCAGATAAATCAATGCCTGTTTATGATTATTATTACTTTCTTTTTTTAGAGGGGGTACAAGAAATAGTTCTGAGTAGAGTCCTCCTTCCCAGTCCTTATCCCCAATCAGAAAGAAGGACAAAGGGAAAGAGGAGGGAGAAAAGCTGGGAAATGCATTCTGGAGGCTGACTTCAGAGTCTCTGTTAGATTCCTGAAACAAAGGTAGTTCTAAAGAGTAATGCAGATATAGAGATGGACACACAACCTTGAAGGAAACATGGACAAAGTGTCTCTCTCAGAGCATCAGTTTCCCCCACTGAACAATTGAGACAATTCTAATTTTTGCTCTCATCTATTGGAAGGTAAAAGGAGATTGTGAGTCAGGAATCAAATTACATACTAACGACACTCACACCTATACACTTAAATACAATTGCCCAAAGAGGAAACCATCTGCTCCCTCTTCTCCATAGTTAAGGAGAAGAGTTCTTGATTTTGATCTCCTGGTGGGGGTCAAGAGAGGCCCGCAGAAACTAGATGTTTCTTCTTGCTGAAACTGCTCAAGTTGCCCCTGCCTCTGTCTCAGGACCTGGTGGGCTTGAAGGAGATGTTTAGGGACCCTACAGAGCCACAATGTGGAAGAGTCTCAGTAGAGCTGAGCACCATTCCCTCAAAAATGGTCATAGGTGGATATGCTTGGAAAGGGAGAAGGATCTGGGACTGAGCTGACTAAATAAAGGAGGACTATCCTGGGAGTCCTGGTGTGGGGCTGTGGGTGAATGTGCCAGACTGCAAAGTCATTTGAACTGCAAGGTTGGTAGTTCAAGCTCACCAGCTGCTCCTCGGAAACCCTACACAGGGTGGTTATGGGTCAGAACTGACTTGAGGGCACTTAACAACAACACAGTCCTGAGCCCAAGACCTCGGTCCCCTAACCAGAAGGTTTGAGAGCTTAATGATTCCAGACTACACTCCCCAAACGAAACAGCATTTAAGCTCCCAACCACCAAGAAGTAACTCACTTGGGCCACCTCAAGGACAAGGCCCATCTCACTGCTTCCAATTCTGTGCACTCTGGATTGGTTGAGCATCTGTTACGTGCAGGGATTACGCCACACACTCAAGAAAATGATAGAAGATGGGATTGGAAACCAATGGCAATAGCCACTGTTTCCTCCAACTTCACTCTGAACCATCAAGTCCCAAGCCCCTAAACCCAGGAGGGCTTCTAGGCTTTGTGAGGTCAGGGTCTAGCTCCATCACTCCCTCGGGAGTAAATAGGACATCCAGGAGAGTTTTTCACATAACCATCCCTGAGGTACCAGGAAAAAAATCTGAGGGAAGAACACAGACGGCAGAGTTTCCACGCGTGCATAAACCCTACAAACATGCCCACAAACATTCAGGTGTGCAAACCCAAATGAGCATGAAACACCAATATCCAAATGTGTATCTAATTACAGAGAACTGTGCCCAATCGTATAATACCTATTTATACCCTTCCTCATACCCTTTCCAAGCCCTGACAGAAATATACAAACAACGGGTATTCGGATGCCCCAATAGTTGCACATAACCATATATGTACACAAGCATGCAAGAACACCTGCAAATCTAGCCACACATGTACAGGTAGGTGTAAAAGAGAAAAAAATGTGAAATCGAATTTACAATCTGGGGGGCAAAAATCCATGACAAAAGGAAACTGGCATCTCCTGAGGAGAGAGCCCGCTTTTACCTCCTACCCACTGAGTGTGCAAAAAACCAGGAAGAACTAGCCCTAAGGTCAGGGGCAAAAGGCAGACTTTTCCGTCTAGGAAGTGTAGGAATTCAGGAGAGCCCTGGGGGCTTGTTTCTGGGCCCCTCCCCTTGGTCCAGAAGTAAGTCAGTCTTTGTAAGCATTCCAAGAGGGTGGGCGTCGCTTAGATTTTGTTTCTAGAAGATGCAGGCCCGCACCCACCTCGGAATCCGAGCCCAGAACGAACCCTGCACAGGGACCAAGCAGCCGCTGCTCCCAGCAGCTTCTCAGGATCCTCTCCCCAGGCTTGGCCCTGCCACTGAATCTGAGCCCTCTAAGGCTCCACGAGCCACCTCCAATAATCCGCTTCACCAACGGAATCCCTTCCCCAGACGACGAGCGGTGAAAATCATGCGCTGAGCTACCAGCTCCAAGGGCCCCTCGCCCTAGTTTACAGCTCAAGACACGAGGGAGATCCCCGCCTCTGCCTCTCCCTTGTAAGGCCTTCTGCTTCTGGAGGAGATAACTGGAAAACCCGTTCCAGGAATAAAAGGGGAGGAGGGTTGTGTCGGATGAAATGAGGAGCAGGTTGAACACGAGGAGGCTGCGCAGCAGGCAGGGCTAGGCTCAGCGCAAAGAGCAGCCTCAGCCATGTTTCCAAAGCTAGGACTGGGTTTCCGGCCTACGGCTTCCTGAAATTCAAGGGGAGACCAGGAGTGTCCTGCAAAACCCTCCAAACCCCTGTCAAACCTTTATGGGAGCCACCTCTGCCCCCACCCCTCCTCTGCCACGCGATCGTTGTGCGGGGACCGTTAAGGCCGCCCCCAAGTCTCAGCCGAGGGCTCCCAGGCCCGCTGCTCTGCCGGTGGTGTGTGCAGGGGTGCGTTTGGTGTGTGTGCAGAGGTTCTGAGTAAGGTGCCAGCCCGGGTTCATACCCTTCCCAAGGCCGCAAAGAGGAGGGCCGCCAGAGCGAGTGAGCACAGTGTACACTTTATTTCAGACTACAGGTTTCTGAACATAATAAAATCTTTGGCTTGTAGCGGCGGTTCAGTCTCGCAGTCTGTGGGGTCGTATTTCTCAATAAGTCTCCGGAAAACGAAAGGGGAGCAGGACAGACAGACCGACTGAAGAGGCCGGAGAGGTGGGGAAGAAGCGAAGGGCAGACACTCGAGGAACACTCTCACGCACACAAAGAAAAGTCCCAGAAAAACACCGGGCAGCAAAGCGGGCGGGAGGCACCCGGAAAAAACGAGGACATTCAAAAGAAAAAGGCAACGAAAAGGAAATGGGGCAACGAGGCGGAAGTGGGGGGATAAAATAATTATAATAATTATAATAATTATAACAATAAGAATAAAAGGGATTAATAAAAATGTCCGGCAAATAGAGATCGCTACACATATTTCTTTTCCTTACCTGAAATTAAATATATACAAGGTCGTAAGCGGTTTGGCTAAATAGAGCTTTAAGGAGTTCGCAGTTGCGTCCCTTAAACTGTGAATACAGAAGAGATCTGTTTTTTCGATAGCACCTGTCCATGTCTTTCTCCTAAATTAGAAATGTTTTGTGATTCTCCATTCTGAGAATCTCTTTCTCTCTATCCCGCGGAGCCCTCTCTCCTTTCGTTGATTCTGGTACCCCCGAAGCAGGACCGGAGACGCTGCAGTGGTGGAGCTAGGAGGGGGCCCGGGCGCTGCGACCGGACCAAGCGCGCCGGCCCTGCCGCCGCCGGCGGCTACTCGCTCTCGTCTTTGTCCTGCACGGTGGTGGTGGAGTGGTTGTATAGTCCCTGCGCCATGAGGTGCAGCGCCAGGCCGTTCTTGATGCCTGTGGCTTTCTTGATCTTGGCGCGCTTGTTCTGGAACCAGATCTTGATCTGGGACTCGTTGAGGCTGAGTTCCTGGGCCAGGGTCTGCCGCCGCTGTTCCGTGATGTAGCGGTTCGCCTGGAACTCCGCCTTGAGTCTTTGCAGCTGCTCGGCCGTGAACGCCGTCCGTGGCCGCTTGTCCTCTTTCTCGTTCTTCTTCTTCTTCAGCTTTCTGGTGCGCGGACCTGCAGCAGCGGAGAGGGCCGGGTGGGGGTAGGGATGAGGGCAGAGGGGAGGGGGGGAAGGGCAGAGGAAGCCGTGAGAATTGCCTAGCCAAACCCGGGTCTCATCCAGTGCTTCCCGGGCGCTTATAGAAGCCCTCTCACTGGCCAACCCTCGGATCACAGTGTTTCTAGCCTGGCCGCTGGGGTCGTCGGGTTCCTTTCTGGAAGTACCAGAAGAACCATGAAAAATTACCCAAGCTTGTAGGTACACCCCATACCTCAATTCATTACAGGATAGAAGCCCGGGGACAGGTCAAACTGACAACACTTTCCAGCCCAAAAAGTAGCAATCCCATCCAATTTAGCAAAGAGTTGTAAGTCAGGGGGCTGCTTTCTCACAGCCCTAAAATTAAAAAAGGTTCAGGTCCGGCAAAGAGGTCAGGCCCTGGAGGAACTTGTCAGTGAGGGTAGCTCTTCATCCCCTACCCCAGGGAGACAAGAAGAAAAGGCCCTGACCCAGCTGTATGCCTCATCCTCATAACTCTGCCCCCCCCCCACCCTCATTCTCTGCTTTGTCTCTTGGATCATACTAATAAAAAAGAGAGAGTCCTACCCATTCTTCTACCCAACTACACGACATGGTCTCCCTTTGAAAAATTATGTGCAATTGTAGGTGAAAACACCTGAACAACAGAAACAGGGCAAACTGGCTCACTTTGCTGCAAACCCATGGCCTGTGCAAGGACAGACAGTAAACCCCTACTCCTAATCACGGAGCACAACGGGCAGAGGAACTGAAACATAGGGGCAATTCCTGCAAAATTCTATAGTTTTCTCCCAACAGAGATATGGGAAGCAACCACAGAAAACTCCCTAGGAAAGTGAAGTCTCCCTCAAATCCTAGCCTGGAAGGAAGCAACCCCAGGTAGAGGTAGAAAGAGGAGACTGACTGGAGAGTCTGTACCTTTGAAAATTGTACCTCTGTCCATCCTCTCCTCACCTAAGTCTTTTGATATCTACTTCCTGGGCCCTGCCATTATAAGAGCTTACTTGTTCAAGCTAAGCCCCTGTCAGGCCTGTTAAACCCTAAAACTGTCTAGAAGGAGGAGTGAGTCTTCACTGATCTCCAAACCTGGTGACAGAGGGGCAAGCTAGGCAGCTTTTGACTCCTGGGGTAGGCCGTGTCTGAGGTTACCAGTTGTGACAGAGTCAAGAGATGACAGAGACTCTGATCTGAGTTGAGGCTCATCTCCTGAACTACCCATGCAAGAAGAAAAAAAGAGGTTCGTAGCAGCCAGTCCCCCCGCATCTCAGGCTCAAAGGAAGGAAAGCAACCAAGAACAAAGGCCAGGCCCACTCCTATGCAGGGCACAGAGAGGACTGGGAGGTTGGGTGGTGGAGAGAGGAGGCATTGGTTTGGATTAATAATTAGGTGAGCAGGCAGAGATGGTTCAGAAGATGGGCACATCCTCAGAAAGGCCCTGCTGTGCTTTGTGCGTCCGGGACATGTTGGAGTGTTGTTGTGTGTTTGCGCACAAGGCACGGACACTTGTAATAAAATCGTAGCCTCCCGGCCAGCCCAATCCAAACGGCCTGACAGCTCAATCACTCTATCCATCAGGCGAGTCAATCAAAGCAGCTTTTCGGAGGTTCAGGGAGCCGGTAGTGTCAATAACGGGGCTCGAGATGGCGGGGGCTGATAACGCGCATCGATCTGCGCCCGCCCGCGGAGACCAGTCGGCTGAGAGCGGCTCGTGGTTTTGCTGTGCCCCGGGTCTTGTGGGCCCCAAGCGCTCGGATCTCGGATAGTAGACCAGAGCCAGTCTCTCCCTCTTTTCGGCCTCCACTGGCTTCTCAGGGCTGCTGGCTGACGCGGCAGGCAAGTGTCGGCCTTCTCTACTAGGGCACTGTGGCTATTCCAAGGCAAGCCTTGGCCTCTGCTTCATCAAGCACAACAGAAACACTGAAAGAGGGCCGAAGAAAAGCCGAGCATAATGGGGCTGCAGATGGTCGAAATTTGCTAACCGGCAGATGTGCAGGAAGAAGGAGTGAAAGAAGGAAGAAGCCAGGCCAGGCCAGGAAAAGACGGAACCGCAAATATGAAGAAGCTAGCTCTCGGTGCTATCTGCCCTGGTGTCTAGCCCGAGCCTGACCTTCTTTCCTCTCTGTCTGTTAAGTTCCAAATATCTAGGAACCAGAGTTTCCTGGGGCTCCGACAACCGTCTTTCCCAGGATTTTCTACCCACCCGGGTCTGACTCTCTGCAACCGGCCCAGTGATGTGAAGACACATTTCTCTCCCTTCTGTATGTCTCCATTTCTAGCGCTATCTATTATATAAAATTAACTCTCCACAGAAAACATCGAGGTGTTGCTTGGGTGCTTGTGTCTGTAAGAAACACGAAGAGCTTATTTCTCTGTCAAAGCCTTGCTCGATTGCAGTCTCCTCTGGGTCGAGCTGGCGGAATTTCAGACTCAGATCTAGGCCCACATCCCCGAAGGCGCTAAACACCCCTTCCCTGGAAAAAAAACAAAACAAAACAAAAAAAACAATACAAAAAACCATTGACTCTGATTGTGTCTTCCCAAGAAATAATAAAACTAAAACAAAAAGAAGGTCCCAGGGTTTCAGAGTTCAAAATCGAAGGCTCAAGTATCGAGCCACGGTTGCCAGGAGCAGAAGCACTGTGGGTAGTGGCTTCTGGGCCCAGGAACGCAGAACTGGGCGCATACTCGCTTGGGTCTGGGGCCAGCGATAAGAAAAGGAGAGCAGGCGAAGAGAGCAGAGAGTGCCCAAATTGGGGTTTGCTATGCCCCACGCAGAGGCTGGGAGTTCTAGGGGCGTCCGCGTAGCCGGTAGGCAAGGCGCAGCCTGGGGTTGGGTACTCACCGGAGGACGGGCGATCCGAATAACGCGTGCAGTAGACCCAGGCGGGCCAGACGAGGGGCTGCTGCGAGTCAGTTTTGACCACGGGCCCACCGTTGGCTGAGCCCATAAGCAGGATGGCGGGGTTACTGTGCTCCGGATACTTGGCGCTTTGCGCACCCGGGCTCCCGGCGCTACCTCCACTACCGCCGCCGCTGTCCGAGGACTTGGCCGCTGCTACTACTGCCACCGCTGCTGCAGCCGCCGCCGCCGCCGCCACCGATGGGTTTCCAACTTTTGACGCGCCCGCACCAGTGGCGACCGCAGGCGGGGAGCCGTCGGGCGGGACACAGTTCGCGTCCGGAGCACAGAGGAGCGAGGCGGCGCCTGACGCCCTTGTACCCAGCGAATGGACAGGGTCTCTACCTGCGCCAGTCTGGCCTCTGTCACGCTCGACCCGGCCTCCTGCTCCTGCTCCTCCTCCAGCCGCCGCCACCAGAAGCTGCTGCGGCGGCTGCTCCTTTTTGCAGCCGAAGTCCGGTCTCAGGATGTTGTCGATGAAAAAGTTGGTGGTGCGGTGCAGCTGGGCCGCGGGCTGCGGCTGGTGAGCAGGCGCCGCGAGATGCTGCTGCGGCGGCGGCGGCGGGGGCGGGGGGTGCGGGGGGAGATGAGGGTGGTGGGCCAGGGACTGCAGGCAAGGCGCCGCGGGAGGCGAGGGGGGCGCGGGCTGCGGGGACACGGGAACGCTGTCTCCATCGCTGCCGCTGCTGCCGCTAGCGCCTGGGCTGAGGCTCAAGCTGAGGCCGCCCGGAGCCGCGGCCGCTGCCGCGCCGAGGCCTGAGTCGCGCTGACTTTTAGGTTCCGGCTGCTGTTCTTCCATGCTCGGCCGCCCTGCCGCCCCGGCCGCAGCGCCGGCCCCCGCCCCCCCTCCTCACTCCCCACCCCACTTTGCCAGCGGCCCGTGGGGGTGCGCGGAGAGAAGAAGGCAGGCGAAATCCCAGCGAAGGCACGGGGCGGGTGCAGGAAAAAAGCCTAGGCTCTTGGCCTGGGTCTTTCGCTCTTATCGAGCAGCTAGATCTCGCTGTCTCTCTCCCTCGCTCTAATTTGTAGACATCCAGATATGGAGACACTTGGCAATTTCTTTTTTCTTTCTGCGACCAGATTCAATGATGTGTTTTAAATGGGGAGGGAGCCACGACCAAAAATAAAGGAAGAAAAATTAAAGAAAGAAAAGGAAAAAAAGAAAAACGTTCCAAGATTTTTTTTTTTTTCGTAAAGGGAAAAAATAGTCTTTAAAGTCTAGCCTAGTCTTTCTAGGCAGTAATGAAGGGTTTGACTTCCCCGAGTGTCACGCTCAGCTGTGCCCAGAGCGCGAGGCTGGCAGCGCATTTAATCGCCTTTGCTTTTTTTGCAGAGCGAGCGCGTCTCCGCCAGCGCCGGGGCTGCCTTTTTTTTTTTTTCAAATCTCTGACAGCTCGGATCTTTGCACAAACTCTCTCGCTTAAAAAAAAATCACCCAGGCACACTTTTTGCCTTCAAACCGGAAGCACGTGAGTCAGGGCCGCACGTGTACGGGGCCAATGACAAACCAGGACTCGCGCTGACACCCGGGCCGCGGCCCAATGGGCGCGCGCGGAACTTTGCGGATAAATAATCCGGGGGCGGCGGCCGCGGGCTGAAAGGGGGCGCGGGGGCGCGGGCGTCGCGCGTCCGGCCTGTCCTCCCCCACCCGCGCTGCCGCCCTTCCCCCTCCTTCAGGTTGGGACCAAGACGCTGGCACAGGAGACAGGGGGAGGGGTGAATTGGGGGATGTAGGCAAATAGAGAAGCAACTCCATAAACAACTTGTTGGAGAAATGCAGGATTATGGGTGCGTGTGCGCCGAGCGCAGGGTCAGGAATCAGGGATCTCAGCTCTTTGCATCTCCACGTCTAAAAAACTCAGCCTTTTATGTTCTCTTTTGGTCCCCCTTGGTGTTAACAAGGGGGAGAGATGTCACTGTGTGTGTGTATATATTGAAGGGGGAGGGTGATGCGAGGAGGTCGGTGATTCGAAATAGACCTAGAGTTATTTACTTTCAGATACGCAATTTATTTTTCACAAACAGAAAAGCCTGCTTGCCGAACTAGCAGCGCCCGTTTGTCGACCACACGCAAAATAGTTTCTTTGCAGGTCGTTCCCGGGGGATCCACATCCCCACCCTTCCCTGTCTGAACACCGGGGAGCTGCCCTGGCGCCGTAGAGTCAAACCCAGAGGACGCCGAGAGCCCCAGCGTCCGGCGCGCAGCGCGTCTGTTCTCCGCTGGCTGCTGAAATCGGGGCCGCAGCAGCATCGTGGAGTTGTCCCGGGAGGGCACTTGGGTCAGAGAGTCATGGCGAGGATCCGGGCTTTGGGGTTTCGTATTAGGTTTCCTTGCAAAGTAATATCAAACAAGTAAAAGTCCCTCTTCCTTAGGTGTTTACCTGGCTGGCTAAAGATTTGAATAGCGATTTTTTCCCTGGTTGCAGGGTAAGTAATTTCCCTGAAGTACAGACGACTCCATGGGAGCTCCAGCTCTAGCCCTGCGCGTTCCTCCCAAACTTTGCATGCTACATGACTCCAGTTACTCCCGCGCTTGCTGACATTAGTTTCTTGTCCGCTGGGTTCTTTATCTCTTGTTTTTCAGTCGAGGTATCCCAAAAGAACTCCCATGGCCAGGGATGCGGGGGAAAGGGAGCCGGTGAGGCGCTGGGTATCCGCAAAGATTCTCTGACAAGCGGTTTTGCAGTGTCAACATTCGACTATCTACTGGAGCCTGAGTTGCGGAAAGAAAAGGTTTCGACAACCGAGGCCTTAGCCTGGATGTCATCTTTGCAGCTCTAGAGACTCTGTCCGCCATCCTACCCCAACGGGGGTGGATGGGGCGGGGGGAGGGGGGGCAGCAGCAGAAGAATCTCTGTGGAATATTGTCTACTTGGGATATGCAAAATACCCCCTCCCGTTTTCCAGAAAAATCACCGGATTAGGAGTAAAAGAAAACGAAAAACCACAACAGTGCAAACTAACTCAGTGGTAGCCATTTCTAAACGCTGGAGCGGGAATTTGTATTGCTCTGGTAGCGCAGTGGTTAAGCACTGGGCTTTTAACCTAAAGGTCCTCAGATTGAACTCAGCAGCCCCTTTCCTCAGGAGAAAGATGTAGCAGTCAGCTTCCTTGAAGATTTACAGCCTAGGAGATCCTATGGGGTAGTTATACTATCCTATAGAGTTCCCTATTAATCGGAATGGACTTGGGTTTTTGGTTTGGTGTGTCTTCGGATCTGCCTTTTTGACTACACCTGCATGTTGGCCTGGAAGTTCGCCAGGTGTCCTCAACACCTCCCAGCTGCGCCCAACCCCACCTTGGGTCCCTCTCAATCTCACACCCAAGGGTTCCCCAAAATCTCCTAGAGCCCCCACCCTTAATCCTCGAAACGGGGGTGGGATTTTATTTTTATTTAAGTTCGCAAAATTGAAATCTTTATCCCGCAAGCAAGCGTGGGTACTTAATTAAATTCTAATTAGGACACTATCAATATCCTATTTAGCCGCGTAGCTTTTGTGCGCCGCGGTCCCTTTCAGCACCGTAAATAGGGTCTCGACGCCTTATCTCGCCTGCAGGAGACGCCTCGAGAAGGGCTGCGGAAGATAATTTATAGGTTTTAATTACTCTTCATTCCGCCTGATCAGCTTGGCGTTCATCACAGGCCTGTGAATAAAACCCTGGTCAAAAGCTCTGTCACATCGCGCTGGCAAGACGCTTAATCAAAGTGAGCGGCCCCGCGCGCCGCGCGGCCCGGCTCCTCCACGTAATTTCCAGCCAGCTGATAAAGCCAGCTGAATAATGCCGCGGCCCTTTGGAGACACCATTTACAGAAATGACTTTATTGACGGCTTAACGTCGGTAATTCATTTTACCTTTCATGTAGTGGAGCCCGGATTTGTTACAGTAATGGGATGATAAATGCACCCGCGGCCCGCGAGCTCGAGCTGGATTAGGCTGCTCATCCCCCACCCCCAGGCCCGGCCTGCGCGGACGACAAGCTACGCACCTTGCGTCTCCCGCGCTGCGAGACCCCCACCCCGGCCGGCGCCTTCCTCTCGCTCCAGAAAATGAACATACTATTGAGAACTCGGTGTGAGTGGGTTGCTGCCCTGGCAAGTTTGGAAGTGAGCTGAGTGAGAGCTGAGAGTGACAAATATTGGCGTAGACTGGCGTGTCAGGAGTCCAGAGAAGGACTCTGAATGCGCCCAGGGCTGGGCATGTGCAAGTATGTGGGTAAAGAAGTTGGGTTTGTGTGGAAGGGTGTGTATGCACATGTGGGTACATCTGTGTGACTGTCCTTTCCGGGGATTCATTTCTTCTTTTAGAAATTAGGTAATTTCCTCCAACCTTACAGATGTCTAAGCCAGGGTGGCTGGCTGGGAGGTGAACAGGCAGAAAGCAGCCTTGTGGGTGAGAATTGGAGAAACTGCCAAAAGCAGAATGAAGCAGCGTCTTTTTCCAAATTGAGTTCCATTCTCCAAATTCCTTCTGCTCCTAGGCCAAAGGCATAGAATTTAGGGTCACCCAGTGCTTATTTTCATTGCTTTGCAGTTCTAAACAGTGTAGTTGTCTTAGGCAGGGGTTCCATATCTCAGAAATAGGTAGGGTGCATCCCACCCCAGTTCCATTTCCATATACAGCTCAGAAAAAAAGGGGGAGATTGACAAGGAAGAAAAACATTTTGCTTTCTTTTAAATACTGGAAAGAGAAAATAAACTGATACCTTTTCTAGCATAAAAGCAGGAGGTCAAAGGAGGACTTCAATGTTGGGGGTTTAGGAGTGTTGCTAGTGATCCCAGCCCTCCCAAACCCTCTTTTTACAGATTTCTTTGATTCTCTGCAGTTAACCATAGGTTTCCAGTGATCAAAAGACACCTAGCAGGATAGAAGGGAATGATGCTTATTTGTATTTGAGGATAAATGCACCCTCCATCCGTGAGCTCTGGCTAGATTAGGCAGCTCACCCTCCACACCCAGGCCAGGCCTTCACCAGATGACAAGCTACGCACCTTGAACCTCTAACAAGAGAAATTTAGGACCATATAGTAGAAAACAGATGAGTGTTTCTAGACAGTCTCAGAGGGAACTATAAGAAATCGTACTTTTGTTTTGCTTCTTTCTCAGTCTTACAAAAAACATTCATCTCAGAATGGCCAGAACTCCAGGTCTCTGAACTATTTGTGCCTATTTGTGTACACAGAAAAACCTCACCGAGAGAAAACTCATTTGTAAAGCGCTTTTTTTGTGTGTATCTGCTCATGTTTGTATGCCTAGCAGTATACCCTTGTATGTGCACACTGGTGTGTGTACTGGAGCTAGTCTCCCCGTTAGGCATGAGGAAATGTGTTTGTGTGAGTTTCGGTGTATGCTGTTTAGAGAAGAGAATTGTTTCGCCAGTCTAGCCTGCCTTGCTGCAGTATTTTGGATTTCGTTTAGGCAGAAACAAATATTGAGGTCCCGTGTGCTTCCACCTCTCTTCCAAGGATGGAAGCAAGAAGGAAAATTGCGAAAGAAAACCTCAGCCCGTGTGCGCCATGAGCCGGGAGTTCAAGTGTGTTCCATGAACACGGTGGTAATCGCATTTCGAGTGTAGATCAGATGGCGGTGGGGCCTCGTGGAGCGGGACATGAATTAATTGTCGAAACACAATAGCGTGCAGCCTTCCTAGGGGGACTGGGTGACCAGCGGTTTTGTTGGGAGTGAATACAAGGAAATTTCTGCTACAAGTGCTGCGGTATTATTATGAGCTGGAAGGTCAGACTATACATCGCAGGTCCCCAAAGCCTATAGACCTTGGGAAATGTGGGGCCTCGAGCCACGTCATTGTACCTGACAGTCCTTTCAATAGACTAATTCAATTAGTACTAGGGGTTTGGGTCTTCATTTGGAGGCGACAATAATGTGGGGAGGTAGGTGCGGTAGGATTCGTTGGGTATTGGTTGGAGATCCTGAACAAGTCTGCCAGCAACTCCGAGTGGGGCTAGGGGAGGCAGCGAAGGGAAAAGCTAAGGTGGGTGGGGTCCCGTGGGAGGCAAACTTCGGAAACTAGAATGCTCTGCTGATTCCGAAATTGCGGTGGCAGCTTTGTTTGCAGACCGCTAAGAATCCTTTGGGGGGTGGGGGGAGATTTCTGTTTTCTATGTGCATCAAAGTCCGGGTTCCTAGAAAGCCCAAGAAAAAGCCTTCTGCTGAAGGTTGGCACCTTTGGGATTGTCAATATTTTGATTTATGCCGATATCACCCAACCTTCTCCCAGGATCCTCTCCCATTTATCAGAGGGAGCAGTTCACAACAAGGACCTTTTTCATTCTAGAAATGTGTTTACTTCCCCTACCGCCTCTAAAACCTGGACAAGATGAAAAACGCGAGCTCTTTCTCTTCTAGTCTCTGATGCTGAGGGAAATGGGAACTTATTTTGGTAATTATCGCAAATGGGCCTCGATAGACAAAATTCTGAAAGGGTTCCCAGGCCCTGGTTTCCGTTATGAGTCCCAGCGGATAGCACACGCACCGGCGCGAGTACAGTGCAGAGACTTCACCGTAGCTGCTCGCGGGTTTAGGTGCCGAATTCCGGCTGCGCGGACATGTCCCGGAGTAAGGCCCTCGGTTTGGAGTATGGGAAGAGGAGCCATGGGCATCTCCTCTGTATCCTCAAACTGCTCCAGGCCTGTGGCCACACAGCTAGCCACGTTCCTGGAAGCGAGGATTTTAAAGCTCCTGCGAGGTTCTGGAAAACAGGACGACTACAAACAGTTGTCTCTCTCCCCATACATACACACACACACACACACACACACACACTTTAATCAGATATTC